GGGCCCGCCCAACCCCGGCCCCCAGCCGCAGGCTGCGCGCCCCGCACCCCCTCGGCGCTGCGCTCTGGGCCCGCGCGCTTTAATGCAGCAGCTCCAGACACCGCCGCTCCGCGTCTCCACTGGCTGGGACTCGCCCCGACGGCGCCCGCAGCCGTCTGTCGCTCTCCCGCCCTCGCCCGGAGCTTCGCGTCCTTGCCTGCCGGCGGAGTGGGTGGGCCCGGCCAGAAGCAGCCCCACTGTGGCAGGATGTTCACGTCCAAGTCCAACTCGGTGTCGCCCTCGCCGTCCCTGGAGCAGGCTGATTCGGACGCGCTGGATATCAGCACCAAAGTGCAGCTCTACGGTGTGCTGTGGAAACGACCCTTTGGGCGGCCATCCGCCAAGTGGTCCCGGCGGTGAGTGGGCCTCCCGCGCCCCGTGAGGACCGCCAGGGGGCGGGGGGAGCCCAAGGCCTAAGGACCCCCTCCATCTCCTTCATTACGGCCCTGCCTCTGCCTTCCTTTGTGACCTTGGCCTCGCCCCATTTCACTCTACCATGGCTCCCACTGGAGGATGTGGATCCCAGATGTGGATCTCTGCCCCAGGGCTAGTAGAGCTGGGTGGGACCACTGGCCTGGGGATGGTGGTGAATTCTTTGTGGAATGGATCAAAATCTGGGTGGGGAGGTGGGGTGTGGGCTGAAGAGAACGAGGCCATGGCAGGAGCCCAGCTGGGTCAGGCTGGGCCAGACTCTGCTGTGGAGGAAATCACTCCATCTTCAACCAACGATATTCTCCTGGGACCCCACTGCCAATTATGTCATCTTTACAACCTCACCCAGGCCTCACGGAGCAAGGAGTAGGCTTAGAGGAGGGGCACTGGTGTCCTATCCCCAACCTTTCTGCCTACCCCCATCCAGTGCACACTGAGGGAGCTTCTGCAAGGCTCAGGACAGCAGAGTGAGGAAGGGTCTTCACCCAGCCCCCGGTGGAGCTAATGTCTGGCAACCCTTCCAACTGGCCCTTGAAATATATATATTTTTAATTTAAATCTGGGCAGAAGGAAAAGATACTCTAGTGCTCCCAGCTGAGAAGCTGGAACAGAAAGGAGGGGCTCAGCTCAGCTAGGGTGGAGACAAGCAGAGGCTGCATGGGGAGAGGGATAGATTGGTCTTGTCTGATGAATTGATCTGTTGGAAGAGGTGGCGGGGAGGTGCAGAGCAGCCCCAAGCCCAGTCTTTCAGGACCAGCTTCCTGGTCCCCAACTCAGAGGTGACTCTCCAGGTATCAGCCACTTTCCACTTATAAATGGGCTGGAAGTTATTGGAGGAAGGGGAAGCTCACAGTCCTGAACTTGCAGGAAGCTCCCAATGCTGGTTTCAAGAGCAATGGGCCATCTTCTGGACAGTTTCCACTTTCAAGCCAATCTCAGTTCTGAGATTTGCTACTGGAATGGCCTGCAAAATTCGGACCCTGATCTGGCCCTCCCTAGGGATGTGATCCTGCCAAAAAACCAGGAGTGTGTCCAGATGCCCCTTCCCATCCCATACCATGAGTCTGCCCTTGAGAAGGGGCCATCAAATGTTCCCAGGACCACAGATCATGAAGATGGGGTTGTGGTTGGTTCTGATGTTCTATTTAGATGAATTATTTATTATTTCTACAAGACCACAGAACAAATGGAGCTGTGGATGGTGTTTCACATTTTACAAAGCTGGTTTCACATATGTACTTTTGTTAGTCCTGCCAGGTTTGTCTCTGGGATTTAATGGGATATAGGCTCCTTGAATTCCTCCAAAGTTAAGCTTATCTCTGACCCCCTAAATGGAGGCCTGGGGCAGCATGGAGAGCATCTTGTAAAGGGCTTTTAGTTGTCTGAGCTGGAGCTCCTGAGGGTCAGGAGCAGCCTTGTCTCTAGCAGAGCACTCTAGTGGGGTTGGGAAAGCTGCTAGTAGGTTCAAGTGCCATTAGTAGGATGCCCTCTTCCCTTCTCTCTTCTGCCTCAGTGGCTCCAGGCAGCTAATACCCCTCCATTGTGTCTGGCTGCTGTCCTTGGTATTGCCTCTGGGTCTTGTCATCCAAGATTTCTGCCAGGCATTTTCCCCTGACTGTGTCCCTAGTAAATGCCAGGAGCCTGTGACCACACACCCCCCAAGGGTATGTCCCTGAGTTCCCTCACAGTTGTGGGGACCTGGCCCCTGCACCCAGAATTGATTCTAGGACTGGCAAGTGTCAGAGAGAAAGACTCCCAGCTAAAAGCTCAATAGTGGAGTCAGGGAGGGCTTGGAGAGCTGTAGCACCTCCCCTACCCCAAGAATCTCCCTGAGTACCCACTCAAAAAACCATCCACTCAAGAATTCTGGAGGTGTCACTATGCAAAGACTCCCCCTGCTCTGGGGCTCAGAAAAGACTAACATCACATCTACCCACTCTGGCCTCTGTCCATGTTCACAGTTGTAAAAATACACCACACACACAATTTACCCTTCTGTCAGTGATAGAGCCAGCGAGAGTGGGTCTGGGGGTGGGAGAGGCATGATGCTAAAGTCTCCTCTCACTTCCCAGCAGAGCCTTTTGAGCCCCAGTTCCCCATTTGTGAAATGGAGTCTCTGGACCTCAGCTAATTGGCAGCAGCGGGAAGGCTTGGGGAGGGGGCAGCTCAGGCCTGCCACCACAGCGCCGTGCCATTAGGGCGATCGATGCCCTAGCTGCGCAGCTGAGGGGAGGGGGCCTGGAAAGGCTCCTGCACTGCATAAATAACAAACAGGCAGGATGAAACCGGCTGTGGCCAGCTGGGTTTTATGGAACCTCTTCCACTCAGGGTCTGTCTGAGGGCATGTGCCTCCAACCCCTACCACCCCAGCAGCCCTGCCCTTCCTGTGCTAGGAAGATGACCTTGAGCTAAAGGGTCAGCTTTTTTCCCATGGGCAACGAAAGGAGAAAGGAATCAAAACATTTCTTCACAGAGGTAAGAGAATCTGGGAGAGGTGTCTAGAGGGTATGGTTGATGACTGTCCCCGCTTAGTTTGTGAGCAGTGGAGGCCCTGGTGCCGTTTGCAAAGACCTGGGCAGCTCACGGACAGGAAGCAAAGGAGTGGACTGTCTCGGCCTCAGGCGGTGTCAGCCCACGGTGGGGCTGGTCCAGTCGGCAGGTGAACTCTAACCTAGTTTTAGAATACTGTCCCCAGTATTCTAGTCTCTCCCCCAAATCCCTTCTGAACAAGTCCCAGGGCTAGAGCCCCTGGTGAGGAGGGCCCGGTCAAGTCCTTCCTGCAGCAGAAGCACCCACACGCCCTCTTGTCCCTCCTTCCTCCAGATGTAAGGTGGCCAGTGGGCCCTGCGCCCAGCCCAGCCGCAGTTCACTCTTGTGAAACATTGATAGGGCCCTGCCTCAGGGAGCTGATTCACAGTGTCCCCTAAGTGCCTAGGGACCCAGGAGCTGGTAGCTCCAACCCACATAACACCCATCTCAGTGTCCAAGGGCCTCAGGGATAAAGGAGGTGAGCGCTGGTTCTATTCTAGAGGTTTGTGCCTAGAGAAGGAGGGGCAGCCAGGCTGCGTGTTCCTCCTCCTTCCTGTGACATGTAGCCCACAGGTAGCTCCCATAGCCCCTGGGCTCTTGCTGCCCTCTTGAGAGATAAGTTTGGCCCAAAGTCTAATCTCACATCCTGAGGGAGTCTAAAACCTGCACCAGCGTGTCTTTCTAATCCCCAAGAGGCTCTAAACTTGCTTCCTTGTTTATGGATCAATTCACTGTCCCCTGCAGGCAGCGCTTGTGCCACCAGATGTGGAATTCAGCTCATTTCTTGGTCTCCCCCTACCCTTCCTGATTGCCACATAGACGCACAGTCTCTTGCACTGGTGTTTGTGAGTAGTGGTCTACGCTGAAGGGAAGACTTGGCAAAGAGAGGCGGAGGAGGCGTTTAAATCACAGAAGTACAAACACCTCCTGAGTGTCAGTTCCAGGTTTCTCATGCCTTCCCGGCACCCCTCTCACCACAGCCTTGACACTGTAGGACTCCAGACTCTGTCATCTTCCTTGGATTCCCTCTCCTCTGTACTTTCCCATCCCTCTCCTCCTCACTGCCCCCCAGGAATTCTCCCAACTCCAAATTTCTCTCACTCTGTGATGCAAGACCCTTTCCAGCCCCTGCTCCTAAATGTGGCTTTTACATCTCTAAACATTAAGGAGCTCGGCAGAGGGGATGGATCTTTGTTGAACCCGCCCAACTTAGAAGGTACCTGTGGATCTGAGGAACATTTCCCTTGACTTCCAGCTGGATCAGTTGTGAGGCCAGTGTTGGCCTCCAAGCTGTTGGAGGCCTTGTTGAATTCAGAGCATTGAGGAGGGGAGTAAAGGTAGGGGTAAAGCTTAGGATAATCCCTACGGGGTTCCCAGTTTGTGTCGGTTGGCACCTGTGTCCATCCTGTCACTTAAGCGGAGTCCTGGTCCTTGTGTTATCCCAGATTCCATTCTTCCTGCCTTGTCTAATTATTCAACCAGCCCTGCTGATTCTTATCAGCAATAAGTAATAACTCTATTAACACTAATAACTCTAATTTACCTGCTGTGCAGCCCTCAAAGCCACCCTCCCCATATCTAAAACTACAATTTGACCTCACAAGTACCCTGTTTGCAGCTCTCTTCATCTTTAAGAAGAAGCCCAGCCTTCTCACAGACTACACGCCCTCCCCTGCTCTGGTCCCTGCTTCTCTCTTTGACCTTAACTCACCTCTACTCCTCTTCCCTACCCCTACTACTGCCCACCCCTTTTGCACTTATCTGCCAGTAATACCAGACATATTTTGATAACCTTGAACACACTGTTCTTTGCATATGCTGTTTCTTCTGTCTGGGATCTATCTCCCTCTTCTGCTTCCCCCCAGATTCCTAAGATACTCCTATTCATTCTTCAAAACCCTGCTCAGACATCACCTCTTCTTAGAGAACTCCCTTGGCCAGACACCTAAACCATTCATTCCTCCCTGGTCTGCACTCTTCCTGTATCTCATACAAACTTAAAATGTTACAGTGTACCCTGGTGCTTTACAGTGTCACAGGGTACTCTTGTGCTTTACAGTGTTGCAGTAAACATAATTATCCCAACTCTCCACTTACCAGCTGTGATCTGGAGCATGCTACTTAACTTCTCTTTGTTCATTACCTCACCTAGCTCATGTGATGAGTGAATGAGTTAACATACTTAATGATGTTACTAAGAACAGGGCCTGGAACAAAGGAAGAGCTTGAAAAACATTAGATACTTTTTAAATTATTGATTTCTACACACTCTCTCCTGCATTTGACTCTAAGCTCCTTGAGAGCCGGAAATCAAGCTCCAGGGCCCAGCACCTGACTATGTCAGGTGATTGATTAATGCTCTCTGACCAGGGCTGACCAGGACTTTGCAGTTACAACAATTCCAGGTGATGAGAACCAGGCCTCAGAGAGCACAGCATTTGAACGTGTGGCTTTGTCAGCAAACAGAGTTGAGGTTCAAGTTTGCCTCTTACTAGTTGCTTAATCTCTGTGCGCCTCAGTTTCCTCACCAGTGAAATAGAAAAACAAATATCTCCATCTCAGGGTTATGTGAGAGATTTAAATAAGATGATGTCAATAACACGCAGTAAAGTGTGTGTCTTGGCACCTTGTAAATATTCCTTAATCTAGAAATGAATATACTATTTTTTAAGACCAGAGAAAGGAGGCAGCCAGTGTTGACACGGACCCCTTACCTCACGCACACTCTCTAGTCTTCGCTACCCCATGGGGTGGACAAGGAGGGTCTGAAGACAAGGGCTTCCCCCCGGACTAGAGGTGGGCCTGGATAAGAGGGTGGGCTTCCCACAGGAGGGAGCGGCAGATGCAGGAAAGTGCCATGTGTTTGGGGAACAGGGAGCTGCCAGCTGGGCTGAAGCCAAGAGCTCGCGCCAGTAGGAGCCCTGGGAATGCAAATGGGAAGGAAGGTCTGGGAAGGCTGCAGCAGGTACTGAACCTAATAACAGTAGTAGTACTAAGAAAAGTAAACATTTATTTTATTTATTTATTTTTTTAATCAAAAGTAAAAGTAATGGTAAAAGTGAACATTTATTGAATATTTACCATGTGTCACACATTATTCTAAGTCTTTATGTGAACAAATTCATTTAATCATCCTGACAACCCTAAGAGTTAGGTGCTATTATTCTCAAGTTACACTGAGGGACCCGAGGCCTACAGAGATGACTTGCCCTGGTCACTGGTCAGGTGACTTGCCCTGGTCACACCATAGGCAAGCGGCAGAGCTCTGACCCTTAACTACCCCAGCCTTGATACCTGCTGCATCTGGCCCATCCGTTTCCTGCCCAGGTGCTGGCACAAGGGAGGGTGGAAATGCTCCTTGGGCAGAGTAGTGTGGAGAGTAGGAGCAGGAACTGTTGTCCGTGGATTCCAATCCCAGCACCACCTCTGCCTTAGCTGTGACCTTGCACACATTACTTTACCTCTAGGCCTCAGTTTTCTCATCTGTAAAACGGGAACAAAGAGCCCTACCTTCCAAGAGAGTTACGTAGATCAAATCCTCTGATACTTGCAGAACACTTAGCACAGGAACCAGCACGTGAGAACACCTACATTAACTGTAACTGTCTCGGCCCTCACACAGCCTGCCTAACTCTGCCAGGCCCAGAGGAGGTGGCAATTATTTGTTGAATCAATGAATGAATTGTCACAGCAGTCCCAAAAGATGGATATTTGCACCCCATTTTGTAGAGGAGCTTGGAAAGGATGGCTCAGCCAGGCCGGGAGCTTGCCTGAGACTGTGGCTGGAGAGATGGAGGTCAGTGGACTCCAGAGTCCCTGTTCGCTCCCTGCCCATGTGTCTAATGATCATCTGCCTGTCACTCTGCACCCCCAAGTTCCTGGCACAGTGCTTTGCCCTGGGTGGATAGGGGCCTCCAGAAGTGTCAGGGAGGTAAGAAGGTATTTATCTTAGTTAAGGCAATTAGCCTATGATAAAATTGCTTTTGTTATATGTCACGTTGCATAGTCACAGGACCAACTGATGATGGTGAGGACTTACTGTACCTTCTAAAGACCCTATCTGCAAATACAGGCACATTGGGAGTTAGGGCTTCAACATGAATTTTGGGGGAACACAGTGCAGTCCATAACAATATTTCAGAAGCCATGGAAAGGGGAGGAGAAAGGGCCCCAGGAGGCCACCCTGTGCTGACTGTCTTATACTCTCCTGTGGGTGACGTATATTTAGACCACGTGAGTGCATCTCTCAGCCCTGTCCTGGATCCTCTGCAAGTTAGCAGAGTGATAAGCACAATCTCATTTGATCCTTACAATGATCAGATAAGTCTCATTATCCCCATTCTCAGATAAATAGACTGAATCTCAGAAAGGTAAGCTTACTTGCCCCCTGGCTGGGAAGTGGCGGGTGTGTCTGATGCCAAAGCCTGCATTTTTACTGACTCTGTGAAGTTCCCTTGGAACAGGCAGGGTACATCGTCCCTCAGTCCACAGGACTGAGTGGGCATGGCCCGCCGTCCCGGAGCCCAGAGTCAACCTCAGAACAAGATGGGCATGTGGGATGTGGCAGTGGTGCTAAGTGCCAAGCACGCAGCCCAATCAGCAGGTACGGGAGGAGCTTAGATGGCAGTGCGGGCTGGGCTGGTCACTAGGGGTGAGAAGGATTCGGCCAGGTGAAGAGCCAGAGGGAGGGCATTCCAGGGAGTTACATGGTCTCCTTTCGGATTCAGGTGGGAGGCAGTGAGCTCAGTGGTGGGAAAGCAGAGAAGGTGGGCAGGGTCAGGTGCGGGAGGGCCAGCAATGGCCCTGCCATGCTATACAGGGTGGTGTTCATGCGCCTCTTCTCTGCTGGGGGGAGAAAGCCCTGGGGAAGAATTGATATTAGCAGGATGTCACCTCTGGGGTCCACAGCTCCTTTTCTGTATCTGGCTGGGCCGAGAGGATCGGTGCAAATGGCAAACAGGAGTGGGAGTGAGACACACACCAAAGGACGAAGCACACTTCACTTTCTGGGGAGGGGCGGGGCGGAGGTGCGATGGCAGCGGCAGCAGTCCCGGGGACCCTCCCCACAGCAGGTGTGGCCTCAGGAAAAATCACGTGGCTGGCGGAACCTTCAGAAATTCACTGGCTTCATGATGCCCGCCAGCAACTTTTCAACCCAGTCACAAGAGGTGCGTTGGCAAATGGTTATGGGCTCTCTTGGGGTGCCATGAGGTGGAACAGTGTTCTGTAGATCTGATGATTTTCATGGTATAAATACTCCCCCTATGACTGACATCAAGCTACTGACACAATGTCACTGAAGGCAGAGCTGGGAAGAGAATCACACTGTCGGCTGTCATGAGCCCATCTGAGCCAGCTCCAGCCAGCACACCACTGCTTCCAGCTCCCCCAGTCCCATCGCTACAACAGCAGGGGCCCTGGGAGGAAGGAGCCAGCCACGCTGGGTGTCCTGGAGCCTTGGGGCTTTGAGGCCCAATAGGATCATCTTATCCTAGTCAGCTGCAGTCATTAGTCCTGTGAGGGTCACCAGCTGGGTCCAAGTGCTCCACCTAAAGGCATCAAGGCTGTTAGATCCCCAGCAGTCAGAAAGCACCAGGAGCCCAGAGATCCTTAGACCTGAGTCTCAGAAGGAGGCTGTAGAGCAGTCCGAGACATTAAGGAGTGAGTGCAAGTGTCACATGCGGGCTGCAGGCCTGGCCGCACCCGCCTGGTACGCACATTCCATGCGATCGCCAACCTTCATCATCACTTGTCCAAAGACCCACCTTGGAATCTGCATCTTCTTCCTTTCCTTCCGGCCTCTCCTGGGGAGACCCTAAGGGACTAGAGATAATGGCTCAGTGGGCTGAAGGTACTCCAGGGGAAGGACCACAGGTGACCTCTTGGGCTGAGGGTGATAGCTCAGGGGAGATGGAGGAGCCACATCTGGAGGCCTCTTGTGAGCCTCCCAGTTCAGCTGCCCACTGGTGCAAGTGTTGGCTGCCGGTGGTGGCGGGCAGCTGGGCCGCTGAGGCCTTTGCCCAAATTTTGAATGTAAGTTCTGAGGATCGGTCTGAGCTGGTGTCCCCAGGGGCTCCCCATGTGAGTGCAGGATCCCAAGGGTGCTCTCGTCCCGAGGAACCTCACCCTTCTCTCCTTGTTGCCCCTCCTTCCCCACCACCCACTTTAGGTTTTTCATCATCAAAGAGAGCTTTCTTCTTTACTACTCTGAGAGTGAAAAAAAGAGCTTTGAAACCAATAAATACTTCAATATACATCCTAAGGTGAGGGGGCCTGTCCCCTGGGCCATCGCAGGGGGAGGACTCTGTAGGGACCACAGGGGAGGGTATCCTGTGAGGGTAAGGGACTATCTCTTTCCTTGCTCTGGTCTAGAGAGAGCCTAGAGAACAAATCCTTCCTGGGGCACAAGACTCCCTGCCCCTCTTGGGCTGAGTCCCCACCCTCCTGTGACCCGGAGCCCGCCCAGCCCTACCTCTCCCCACTGGCAGAGTTCTGGTCTGACTCCCAGCCTGGGACCCTCAGCAGGACCTGGCTTTGGCTGAGGGCTCCCAGGAGCCTTGAGTGACCTGGGCGGGGTGTGGTGGGGACTGCCTGTTCCTATTCTTTCTCAGGGCGTCATCCCTCTGGGGGGCTGCCTGGTGGAGGCCAAGGAAGAGCCCAGCATGCCCTACGCCATGAAAATCTCCCACCAGGACTTCCATGTGAGTAAAGCTGTCCCCTCAGCCTGGGCTCAGCAAGGGCAGAGCAGCTTTTCTGGGATTCCCCCCGCCCCCCCCAGGTCCCTGAGGGTAACTCCTCCAGTGGCCTGGCCTGGGAGGGCTATCAGTGCCGTGGGGATGTGGGGTGAGAGAGCAGAGCCTCAGAGGCCTGTGGGTGACCTCTGTGTCCTCAGAGTGCCTCTCAGGTACACTGTGGCCCCTCTTCCTGGCAGGGGAACATCTTGCTGGCGGCAGAGTCCGAGTTTGAGCAGACACAGTGGCTGGAGATGCTGCAGGAGTCAGGGAAGGTGTAAGTGTTCCCAGCAGGAGGAGGCAGCCTGAGGTCCAGAAGGGGAAGGGGTGTGGGCTAGACCGACTCTGATCTTCCTTTCTCCCTGCTGGGATCCTGGTGGACACTGAAGACCCCAGGAGAGGGCAGGGTGGGGAGGAAAATGTCTGGGCCTTTTTGAGGTTAGGGCTGTGGGAACAAGTTAGGGTGGGCGAGAGGAGATAGGCCAGATTCAGAGCATCCATGAGGGGTCTCTTAAGTGAGCTTTGAGCAAAGTGAACTTTGCTTGTATAGAGTCACAGGTGACAGACATGGACACCATTTGTCTCCAACTCTTGGGAGCAAATCCAGCAACTATTAGGATTTGGGCGCCTCCTGACCCCCATCTCACCTCCCCAGGCCCATCATTAATCCTAGCAAAGACCAGAGCTAGTGCTTTGTAAGTCAGGGGCCAGATCATAGAAACCTCCAGCCCAACACAGTCCATTTGCACGCAAGCCTTTATCCTGGTACCTGCCTATTCAAGCCGGGTCATGCTTTTTGTCCAACAAATAACACTGAATGTGTGCCCTGTGCCAGGCCTTGTGCCTGGTGGTGGGCATTCAGCGTTGTAGAAGCAGCCAAGAAGCAATCTCTTCTTTCCTCCAAAAGGGCTGTTGGCCCAGCCCACTGTGTCCCACTTTGCAGCCTGGGCCAGCCTCCAGGGACTGTGACTGATAGAAGCTGGTGGCATGCCCAGAGCCAAGGGTGTCAGCGTGAAAGCAGGCTAGGATTCTGGAGAGAAGGAATGGGCAAGTACAAAACATGCACATTCTCTTTCTCTTCTACCCTTCTGTTTTCACGAATTTTGTGTTTCTTCCTCTTCTCTCTTCGGTCCCATCTGCCTTCCCTCCTCAGGACTTGGAAGAATGCCCAACTGGGAGAAGCCATGATCAAAAGCCTGGAGGCCCAGGGTCTGCAATTGGCTAAGGAGAAGCAGGAGTATTTAGGTTGGCTGGAGGGATGGGCTGGAGGCTGAGTAAGACTCCCTGATGGTAGCACTTCAGGGCCAGGGGCTTGTTGAAGGACGGGAGGGCGGGCTGCTGTCTTGGGCGAGGCTTAGCAGGCTTTGAGGAGCCAGACACCAGCGTGGAGCCTGGAGGGCTTTATGATGTAATAAATGTCCTTTTGGCCAGCATGAGGAGGCAGGAGAGCCTGGGCTCTGGACCCAGCTTTGTCACTTATCCATCAGCCAGCCATGTGTTATTTTAGGCAGCACAGCCTCTCTAAGCCTCAATTTCCTTGTCCTTAAAATGGAGACAAAAATGGTCCTTAGTTTTTGGAAGCGGTATGGGGATTGGGTTAAATGAGAACGCCTGTAAACACTTGTGTCAGGCACGCAGTAAGGACTCCGTAAATGGAGTCGATGTTATCCTGCCCTGGGCCGCCAGGTCCTGGGCTTGTCCCCAACACCACGCCCAGCCCACTTTAAACCTGACCACAGGGTTCCAGGACCCTGTGGCCCTGACTGGCCTGTTAACATGCTGTTTGGGAAAGGAGAATATGAGTCCAAGATTTGGTCTTTTGCCTGGGACCCTCTCCCCTGCAACCTTCTTAGACACATGGAGCCCCAGCACTGGTTCCCCTCTGCCTGCTCCAGACACCTGTCTCCATAGGACCTGCTCTCTCCTGCAGAGGTTAACAGCACTCCTGGGGGTGCAGGAACATACTTGAGCTCCTAAGGATGAGGCTGTGCTCGCCTTGTAAATGCACAAAGCAGGGACAGTGACAGGAAAGGAGGGTAGCTGCTCAGGCCAGCAAGGGAGCTTCCACTGCCAGGAGCTGGCCCCGCTCTTTAGCTAGCCTGGGCATGGCAGTGCTGACCTCGTCCTTGGGAGAAGTTGGGGGTCACAGAGGTGACTGTGGCACCGGTACCCTCAGGACCAGATCTAGAGTGGGCTTTTTGTGACAGTGTTTGTGTGCTCGCTTTGGCAGACAAACTGATGGAGGAGACGGAAGAACTCTGCCTGCAGAGGGAGCAGAGAGAGGTAGGTGCACACTGAGGCTGCTCAGAGTTACTGCCCCTCCCCACAACCTCCCTCTCTGTGGGCCCCTGAACAACCAAGGTGTACTGGCTTGTGCTTCTGGCATTAGGGAATGATGTGGGGGAGCCGGGCGCTCAGAGAACTGGATTGAAAATCAGATGGGCAGAACAGGAAGGCCAATGAGAGGACAGTGTTTGGGACTTGCTATAGCGTCTTGGCAAGACCTCTATTTCTCCTTGCCAATTCTGGGGAGGAAAATAAAAAAAGGTGGACAACCACCTCTTAGGGCAAGAGCCATCCGAAAATTTTATAAGCTGTTGTTGGTAGGTAATGAGCTGGTCGCCACTGGTGATAGTCACAGGAGGCTGTGATGGCCTCTCATTCATTGAGGGGCTTCTGGCGCCGTCGGTGTGATCAGGTTAGATGATCTCAGGAGTTCCTTCATTCTCTACATGTCAATAACACAAGTCTCAAGGGGACCAGCGTTGGCCTGAGGCAGCCTGTGGGGTAAAGGAAACACTTGCCTCATTGGAGAGTAGGGAGCCTCTGAAGTCTAACTTCATTTGGAATCTCCATGTAGCCTTGGGCTTTGCTTGTTCATTACCTCCCCTGATGGACAGGGTAGGGTAGTGGTTAGCAGTGTGGACTCTGGAGCCAGGCTGCCTCTGTTTGTATTGGACCTTCACCACTTCTAGCTGTGTGACCTTAGGCAAGTTACCTAACCTCTCTGAACTGAACATCAATATTCTCACATGAACAGTGGGGATAATAATTGAACCCATCTTATTAAGAATGTTGTGAAGATTAAATGAGACATTACATATAAAGTGTTTGGCACATAGTGCATGTTAATGTGTATCTATGTTTGTTAGTATTACAATCATGTTATTCAATTATGGGCCCATTTTGCATGTGAATTGCCTGAAGCCCAACGCTGCAGAGTGGCTTCCCTAGAGGAGCCCACAGAGGGAGGATACTTCTCTTTGCCAGTTGCTTTTCCTTGTCCTCTCCCAGGCAAGGGATAGGTCTGGGGCCATCAGCCTCGGCTCAGTGCCTGCCGCTCAACCTGACTCTTGCTAACTCTTTATGCTTCCCAGCCACCCCTCACCGGGCTCTGAAACACGCCCTACAGTCATCTTTCCAAAGCACCCCAGGCATTCCCAGAGCCTGGCTGAGCACCTCGCCCGGGTTGAGCGCTTCATGAATGTTTGTGGAACGACTCCATGAATGAACGTTTTTCATTCTTCTAATTTTATATTACATATTGACTTTAATCCAGTAGGACAATCTACCCACATTTTTCTTCCAAAAATTTACCAGATAATCCTGCCCATTTATTATTCCAGCTGGATTTCAGAATCATTTTGTCAGTTCACAACAACAACAAAACCTGAACCCAAACAAAAACCCCAAACCGGTTGAGGATTTGCGTTAGCATTGCATGGATTTAAGAACTGGCATGGCGACAGCACCAAGCTCTCTCTCACCCAGCGGCATTCGGGCCTCTGTGTCTCCAGGCTCTCATTCTAGGTCCTACATTGGAGTTTTGGTGTTATGTTCATACAGTTCTGTACATTTTGAGAAGTGAGACTTCTAGTAGGTTGTGAGCAACTTCAAGACAGGTAACCCAGGAAGCCAGGGGGTGGGATGGAGTGACAGACACAGCCACTGGCAGGGAGTAAGACAGACTTATCCATCAGAGAGGCTAAATCTGGGGCAGCAGTCAGCTGGAGGAAAATTTAGACGTTCTATCTAGGTCTTAAGCCAGGAAATGAGGACGGCAGAGACCCACTGTACACAGGCCTCGCTTAAAGCCGTAGCATGTTGAAGGAGGGAGGCCTGTCAGCTGTGAACTCCCTGGCTTTTACAAAATGTGAGTGAGATTCACTCAGGCCCAGCTGGTTCCTGAGGTGAAGGCTGCTCTGAGCAGACTGGAGGGAGAGGACTGGCCCAGGCTAACATTCCTGTGTCAGCTGCTTGCTCCAGATCAAGAATAGAACAGAGTCTTTCCATTAAGGTTTTTCTTCCTTAACTTGCTCATCCATATAATGGGTCAGCCTGTCCCCTGTACCTTTCCCATCTCCAATCCAGGTCATGGAGATTGCCTGGGTGTGCCATAGGCCACTTAGGAAAGAGACTTGGGACAATGACCCAGTGATGAGATGAAGATTTTCTGGTGTCTAAGAGACAGCTTGACCTGAAGGAAGACTCAGGGTCTGGAACCAGGAAACCCAGATTAGAGTCTCTGCTCTGTCACTGACTGTGTGGCCTTGGACAACTTAACCTCTCTGAGCTTCAGTTTCCCCATCTGTGATGCTCTGATAAGAGTAGTGGCTATGCCCACCTAGCTCCTGGGTGGCTGTGAGGCTCAATGAAATTGAATGCAGGGGAGCGCTTTGTGGACTGGCCAGACCCATGCAGACATGCTCCATGTGATGGTGTAGCCCTGCCATCCTCCGTGTGGCAGAATTCTGGGCCACAGGCAGAGTGCAGAGGAAGCTCATCTGCCTGGGGCCAGAAGACTATGCCCTTCCTTGGGCACAGGTCCCTCAAATGTCCCCACCTCCTTGTGGACTCGTCTTTCTCATACCCTGGAGGAGGGCAGCCTGCCTACCTTTCCTTTTCTGGCTGAACTGTGAGAGCTCAGCCTTGCATGCGTGTGAGCACATGGGAAATCAGAAATGCCAGGGCCAGCCAGGCAGGGTTCTTGCCACTGGGGTGCTCCCCGAGCACACGCTCCTGGAGCTGGAAAGAACCTTCCATTTCAAGGTGAAGCTCTTTATCAACCTTCCCGATGGATGTTGATCCTGATTCTGTGGTGGGTAACTCACTACTGCTAGAGGTAAACTCTGCATTATTTCTTTGTTATTTGAAAACTCTTCCTTCATTGAGCTGGAATTTGCCTCCTAGTGACTTCTTTCCAACATTATGCTCCCACAATTTAAGTCTGGTCCAAGAGTCAGAAGAACTACAGTGAAGAAAGGCTTTCGCTGAAGCAGGTCATGGCTGACCTCAGTCTATGGCAGTTGTTACTCCTGGGCTGCAGGAACAGAAGGTTCTGGTTGCTCTGAGCTTATAGGTTGTAGGTTCCTCTCGAAACAGCATTCTCAGGCTACACCTGGACATCAGCTTTATTTAAAAGCCATTCAGGTGAAGTGAAAGGTGGAAGAGAAGTGAGCAGCCAGGTAGGAGATTGTCTTTCTTTTTCCTCTTTACTACACAAGCTTTTCCTAAGGGTAGGAATCATGCTCCTTGTAGAAAACTTAGAAAACAGACTTAATCTCACAATAGACGGAGAGCTACTGTCAATTTTTTGGTGTTTTACTTTTGTCTTTTTTTTAAAAAAAATACATTATTCTTATATATATTTTAAACATAACAAGAACGTGTCAGATATTCAGTTTTATGGACTGCATTTTCATTATACTGTTTGTTGTACCTTCATTAACATTATACCTTTAGCAATTTTTCATGTCATTCAACGTTCTTTGAAAACATCAGTTTTAGTGACCATGTACTGATTTATCCTATGTGATGTTTCATTTAACTAATCTTTTATTTGTGGATAATCTAGGCTGTTTTCACTATTATAAATTACACCACAGTGAACATCCTTCTACATTAATCCTGGTCTACTTTCCAATTATTTCTTTAGGGTAGATTCGTATAGGTGGAATCACACTGAGTCAAAGGATGAGAACTTTTAAGACTTCCGATGCATATTGCCGGATTGCTTAACAGAAAATTTGTACCTTTTTACACTTCCACCAGCAGTGTATAGACATTTCCATAGCATTCTAATAATTTACTTTCTCTCATTTTTCAATTGCAAAAAAGATGTCCCAGTGTGATAGTAAATACAGGGAAATATTTGTAAGTTGGAGTGCTAGAGAAGGGGGCTCTCCAGGGAGGAGAAGCCAAGGTTGTGTGTGGGTTGGCATCCTCCAGCAGGGTCCTGGGTGATCTGTTCTGAAGCAGCAGAAGCCAGGTGCCTCTAAGAGCCAGGTGCCCTTGTGATTTTACAGGGATGCTTGCAGCCTGTAATTGCCCCAGTCCTCTGAACAGCAGGAAGAGGCCACCAGAGAGAGGCAATAAGTCAGGTTTTTAAAATCTGAGGCCACAGAGAAGTTTATCATCACTAGCAAGTATATGTGTCAGCTACAGAGAATGTATTAAAATAGAGGCTTTAAAACTTTTTAAAACAATGAAATTCCTTTCATCAAAAAGGGGGAAGTCTATAAGAATAAAATTTCAATTCTATTTAT